GCTGAGATGGGAGGGCTCCAGGTGGAGCGGGAAGCAGGCTCCTGTCTGCTGCCTCTGACTACAGGAAAGCTGACGGCACGCACAGGCTGCAAGCTGTCCCACAAAGCAGAGAAATCCCATTATCTCCGACAACCGCAGTGAGGCGGCGCTTACCCTGATCCCCCAGCTCCTAACGTCATTTGCTCTGACCACATTGGTAATCCAGATGGGAAAATGAGATTATGATTCTGGGGCATGCATTGCTGTGGGGTGGGGAGTGACAGAAACCTCAGAGGGGTGTTTGCACCTGCACAAATTAGGCACCATCTGTGTGGTGCGGTAAGCTGGCCTGACCCTGGCAGGAGGAAAGACTGGGCTTGGCTTGGTGGCTTGGAAGAAAAGTGCAATTAGAGAAAATCTGATTAGAACTGGTGGATGGAGGCTTGCCTTTAGGAAGGATGGGGCTCTCCCAGTATTCTGAGCCTGGAAGAGAGAAAGCAGGAGGGAAGAAAAGGGGGAGAGAGGAAGGGAGAGAAGGGAAGAAGACCTCTGCTTACCAGGATGTCAAAGCAAATACCTTTACAACCTGTGCTCTGGCTACTTCCTACCAGATACGGGCATCCCTCCCCCCTCCCCCAGCCTGTTCAAAATGCAGACTCTCAGGCCCAGCCCCAGACATGCTCGATCAGAGGCTGCATTTTGATGCAGTCCCTAGTAAAACTGAGGATTCCTGCACACACTGGTCTCCACTGCTGTTTTCCAAGGGCCAGGCTTTCACCTACCACCCTCATCATTTTTGCATATCCCCTCAAACCACTTGTACCATGATTAGCAATCTTCAAATCAATTCACTTTTTGGGGGAAAAAAAAAACACAACTTAAGTTCATTTATTTAAAAATGAAACTTTGTATTACTATTATGAGCAGGAAATTAGCATCATTTGTTATAAATAGAAATAACCATGAAAAGCCTGAAACAACATAAGAGTAAAATTGTTATTTAAACCCTGGATGGACACTGCCAGCTGCCCAAAGTTCTTAGTCTGAGGCCGGCACTCTGTTTAAAAGGGAGATGAGGGGTTGTTGAAGAGTTGAGGAAGGAAGAGCAATGTTATTAGCTCTGCGTCCACATTATCACACTTGTGGTCACTTCCTCGTCAGGGCCGAGGTCCCTCAACTTCAGAATCAGCACTGTTCCATGGCAGGGCCCCATGGCCCCCAGGGGCCCTTGCATCTTCTCCCCACATTGAGTTCCCCCATACAAGGCACATTCAACTAATTAGAGGCAGGTGGAAACTTAAGCTTATCTGGAGACCCCTGGGGCTCCCCTCTATCAGAGACCAATATGACTAGGAGGTACCCCAGAGCCCCAGAGTCCAAGGACAAGGACCCAGGATCATGGTGAACAGCTGAGACTGTCTACCTAGCTTCAAACTGCCGTTGGATTCAAAGTCTGCATGGGGAGCTGTGTCAACCTGGCCTCTCAAAGTGGATTCCTATGACCACTTGGGCAATACTTTGTGGCACAGGTGAGGATGGAGGCCTAGAATTTTCCAGAAATGCCACTTGCCAAGGGGAATTATGCCAAGCTCAACAAATTAAAATCTTAAAGGGAACATTTCAAGTCCTCCAGCAGAAGCAAGATGTTGCTCTACAATTATCTTCCTTATACCAGCTCCTTTTATTACCTTAGAAAACCACAATGTGAGATAGCCGCCAGCCAGAAGATAAGTCCTTGCTCAGGCAATGGTGTCAATTGTGTTGTGCTGGGGTTTGGTGTATTTTAAACGGGTGCTGGCTTATTTGCAAAGCAGCTGGTGATCAAATAATGACTATTAATACAAACACACACAGTTGCAAAACCTCTCTGATCAGGAGTGATGAGGCTGATAGTAATAACTCAAACGTTCCCTGGAGAAATCTGGGAAGGTAAAAGTTTTTTTCCCCCACTCCCACCAAAAGATCCTCTTCCTCCCCATCCATAATTATATTAATACTTAGTTACCTTTGAGTGCTTACCATGTGCCAAGCAGCGTTCTAAGAGCTCTACAGAGATCAACTCCTGAATCATCATGACATCACCAAACAGGAATTCTTCTTCCCTGATTCACAGACATCAGCCACCAAGACCCACCAACGCGGCTTCCCAAGGCATCTCAGGCCTCAGACTTCATGCACACAACACGAAAATGAACCATATTTGATTCACCGTATGAAGCAATCCAAGTGTCCACTGAAGGATGAATGGATACATAGTATATATATTCAATGGACTATTATTCAGCCTTTCAAAAGAAGGAAATTCTACAACATGGATGAACCTGGAGGACATTATGCCAAGCGAAATGAGGCAGTCACAAAGGACAAACACGGCATGATTCCACTTACACGAAGAACCTTGAGTAGTCAATTCGTAGAAACAGAAAGAAGAGTGGTTGCGCGGGGAGAGGAGAACGGCGAGGGACTGTTTAGCGGGCATGGAGTTGAAACACTGAGTTCTTTCAGTTTGAGAAAGATGAAAAAACAGTTCCAGAGAGAGATGGCGGTCATGGTTGCACAACAATGTAAAACACTAGTGAACTCTCCACGGCATGATGGTGCTACAGACGGAACTCGTATTCTAAAACTCGTTATGTTCAAACTCAAATCCCCACCGTGACGGTATTGGGAGGTGGGGGTCTTTGAGAGTGACTAGGTCATCTAGAGGTTCATGAATGGGATTAGTGTCCTTAGAAAAGAGACCTCAGAGAGCTCCCTCACCCCTCTGTCATGCAAGGATACATACAGCAAGTAGACTTCCATGCACCCAGAAGCAGGCCCTCACCAAACACCAACTGCTGGTGCCTTGTTCCTGGACTTCCCAGTCTTTAGAACCACGAGAAATACAGTTCTGCTGTTCATAAGCCACCCAGTCTAAAGTTTTTTGTTATAGCAACCTGAATGGACTCAGAGGATGGTAAATTTTTTGTTATATGTATTTTACCACAGATTTTTCCCATAAGAAAAAAGCTCTTAAAATTAAAAGCACTGACTCATTCATTCGTCAAAGCTCAATAGATTTGTAGATTCCTTTCACACAATGCACAAAGATTAAAGGAGTGTCTACTGCATGCCAGGCAGTACCCTGAACAAGTGGGTATGTAACTGAATGCTCTGGAGAGAGGCGGACACAAATCAATCAATAAATACAGTAAAATCAGAGGCACAGACACAGCATGTACGGGGGGTCTGCTTCTGTGAGTTGCCCATTCTACAGATAAGGATACTGAAACACAGAGAGGTTAAGGAAGTGGTCCAAAGAGCTACAGAGATGATGAAGCCAGGATTCAGCCCCAGGCAGTCACCCTCAGTTTGTGCTTCTAACCACATGCTATGGGGTGGAGGGAGTGATGGTAAGCTATGTAAAACTACATTTGTAGTCAGCAAACTACAACCTGTGGGTCAGATCCGGCCCACTGCCTAGTTTGGCAAATGAGGGTTTACTGGAACACAGCCACACTCACTTACGTACTTACTATCTACAGCTGTCTGTATCAGAGAATCGAGTACTTGTCACAGAGACCACACGGCCTGCAGAGCTGAAAATATGATCTGGCCCTTTACAGAAAAGGTTTGTCAACCCTGTCCTAGGGGACTGGTAGGGAAATGTTAAGGGGAGAGGGAAGGCACAGATGCCAACTTCTCCTCTTGAAGATCTTTCACATCCTCTTTTCCGCCTTCCATCTGAAGCCACCTCCTTAGTGCAGTCGGCCATCCCTCACCAGGAGCCTTCCACAGCCTCCTAACCCCCCTTCCCCGTGTCTGCCCTTAACCTCCGCAACACTTTCTCCATTCAGGAGGGAAGAGACCCACCTAACGATGAGACTGGATCCTAACGCCTTCCACTTAAACCAACTATTCTCAGAATGAAACACACACCCCTCACCAGGACCTACCAGGCCCTGCATGCCCTGAGCCTGCCCCTTCTCCAGCCCCATCCCACACATGCCCTTTGCACTTGCTGGCCTCTCTTGTGAATACTCTACCCACCATCCTTAGCTGCCTGACTCTCTAGCGACCTGCTCTTGATGGAAATGGCCTGCCTGCCTGGCCTACCTGGTATAAGGTCCCCATGAGAATCTCTGCCCACCTGCTTCTTCCCTCAGACCACATATTACAACCTTGCAAATATTTTACAGAAACTTATGTTTTAGTTGCCTCCTTCATACCCCAGGCCCGAGGGTGGCCTATGTGGGTGGGCTTACCCTGCCCCTGTAATTTCCATTAACCTCTGCATACAGTCCAACTACCCACTCCCAATATATGTATGATATATGTTTATATAGAAGCCTGTTTTGCGAATACAGGTTCAAGGCTAGTCTCGACTCCCTATCCCCTCCAATCAGACTGCCATCCCGAAGTCCTTCCTGTGTATAAATGTCACAGCCACCACTGCCACGGCACCCAGGGGGCACTCTAAATTCACGTGCAGCCAGGGAGGAAGCATTCCGTGCAGGGAGGACTCCCCCAGAGGTGTGAAGCAGCGCGATGCCTTCCACAGGGGAGCAGCGAGAGGGCATGTGTGGGAGGAGCAGGAGACGGTGACAGAGGGCAGTCCTCCCACTTCATCAAATTCAAAAAAGCACCCCAGCCCTGAACAGGGGTCCTGAGGTCACTGAAGCCTTTCAAGGTCAAAGGTTGCACTTCCAAAGATGCTGATGTGGGCAGAGAAGTGCCTGGGATCCGCTATCTACACCCCCCCTTGCCGGTCACACTCAAGCCAGTGGCCCTTAGATGGAGTGAAGGGTCCTGGGGGCCATCAGCAGCCTCTCAGGTGCCGTGGCGACAGCCAGGACAAGCCATCTCCAGCACTGGAGAACACGGAAGTACTTACCTCGACTCCCCGCGGAAGCTCACAGCCCTGCCCCGTTTGGGTGGACAAGCTCCTAGGCTATAGGACATGCAGGACCATTTCCACCCCAGGGGTGGGCGGGAAGAGGAAGAGGGTTTAGCAGCGGGGACGGCTGAGTGCCTTCACTCACCTTAGCCAGCTGCGTCTGCAGCTTATTCTTCACATCCGTCACCTCGGAGATGCGGGTGTTGAAGGCCAGGTTGGTGGTGGTAAACTGCTTCCACATCTGATCCGACAGGGTCTCAAAGAGGTTGTCAGCCTCCTCCCGCAGCCGGGTGGAGTTGGCCCGCATGTTCTGCGAGTGCCTGATGTTGTCATTACTGAACTTGGCCCAGGTCTCGGGTACGGAGATCCTGTAAGAGGTGCGAGGACAGATTAACACAGGTGAGGCATCGGGGGCTTGGGGCGGGCCCCAGGGGATCCAGGGCGTCTCAGCCTCGGCGTGTCCGACACTAGGGGCGGGATCGTTCTTGGATGCGGGGCCATCCTGCGCGCTGTGGGGCGGCTAGCGGCATTCCCAGCTTCCACCCACCAGATGCCGGCAGTGCTGCCCTGCTGGCTGTGACAGTCAGAAATATCTTAGACATTGCCACGTGTCCCCTGGAGGAGGGGCACAGTCAACCCCAGGTGAGCACCCCTGGGTATCCGTCCTCATTCTACAGGGGAGGCAGCTGCAGCCCAGTGACAGCGGGCTTTTCCAAAGGGCACACGGTGAGTTGTGGGAGGGGAGAGATTCCATCAATGCGACAGAAGAATGTAAGCCCCGCCCACGGTCACCACCTGAAGCACACGGACAGGCCAAGGAGCGGGCACGGGCACAAGGCTGGCTGCAGAGGCCCTTCAAGTCAGTGGCGAGCACATGCCAGGCTACTTTGCACTGACTCGTTCAGCGAATGTTCTCTGCACACCTGCCCCATGCCAAGCGTTGTCCTAGGCACCTGGATAGAGCCACGGACAAGAGCAGCAACATCCCTGTCCTCGTGGAGATAAATTTCCAACAAGGGAGACAGACATTACTAAGTAAAGAAGGTAAGTACACATGGTATGTGCTATGGAGGAATTTAGAAGCTGGATGAATAAAAAGAGACAGGCTGCAGTCACACTGTGTCAATCAGGGAATAAAATGGCACACTCAGACATGTGGGGGGCTTGGGGATCAGCAAACGCGGGAAGCTGTCCGCATCCCGGGTGTGAAGTTGGAGAGGAGAGGGAGGGGCAGGAGAGAGGGAGCTGTGGTGCAGTACCAGCCCTGGGAGGGGGAGCAGGAGGAATAAATCCCCGCCATCTTTCTCCTCAGCCTTCAGCCTCCTGCTGGCGCTTCTCCCCTGGGCTGAAACTAGCTGGGAACCGGCTGACAAAGGGCGTGCCGGGCAAGCTGGCCTGGAGGGCAGCCTCCTCTATGGACTCACAGCAGGGCAGCTGGAGAATGGGACTGGTGGGCAACACAAAGGCTACATTACGAGGGGCTGGCAGGGAAGACTTCTCGGAGGCGGTGACAGGGACGTAAAAAGAATTCAGTTTGAACAACAGAAAGTTCTTCCTGGCAGAGTCTGTAAGCCCCTGCAACAAGTGATCAATGTAGTGTATGGGGGGTTCCGTCCTCTCAGAAGTCTTTGGGGAGGAACAGGCACTTTTTCGAGCTGGCCTTAGTTCCAGGGTAAACCAGACTAGATAACGTTTCAAGGTCCTTTCTAGCCAGCAAGTCTCCAGTCCTTAAATAAAACATTTTTATTTCAAGGCAGTAGGAAAAAGGAGTCTCAATTTTCGGGAACAGAAGTCTCTTTCCAGACTTTTTAAAGCACACTGAGATTGCATGGTGAATAGAAACTTTTTGAAAACATACATAATATGTGGTTGTTTTGTCTGTCTTTCGCAGGAGCTAAAATGGAGCAATAAACAGGGATCTTGGGCTTCTGCAGATGGGAGAGGGCACTGTGCCTGATCCAAAACTTGTATCCAACAAAGACCAGAGGCTCAGAGAGATAATGTGTCTCCTCCAAAGTCACACAGCCCCTCATCATCAATCCAGGAAGGAGGAGGTGTCAAGGACAACAGATAAAGCCTGTGGATTTACTGAGTGTACTTCCTGCTGCGGAAAGGGGCGCCGTCAATGGTGAGGAGCAGACTCTAAGTCCTCGCCCTCCCCGGAGCAGACAGCGAGCCCCCTTAATCACATTCTCCGGGGGGCTGGGAGGTGTATGTGCCAGAGGCAGCCTTCTGCTTACAGGGGATGCACCTCAGAAGGGGGAATGCACTTCATGGAGCCCTGCCCTCTAAAGATGGGGGTGACAGCAGGCTTTGCTGGGGAGGCAGGAGGTGCCGTGGTAAAGCACACAGGCCCAGTGTCCAGTATGGACTTAGCTGGTGGCTCTGCCACTGGCTGTGTGAGCTTGGGCCAGTCACTTCACTTCTCTGAGCCGAGGTTCCTCATTGAAATAGGGATGTTATGGTGTCTATTCTTGGGGTTGTTGAGTGACTAAATATGCAGCTCCTATCATGGTACCTGAAAACATTAAGTGCTTCATAAATGTTATTGTTCATGAGGTGCTGTGTGTAAAGCTCTCAGAACAGTGCCGAGCACAGAGCGAGCATCAGATAAAAGGCATCTTCTGTCTCCTTTGCCCCCGCCTCCTGCCACAGCATGGAGAGCTTCTGTGACCCGAGATACGTCCCTTCCCAGCCTCCAAATGCCCTCTAACCTGTCAGGATGGGCCCTGCTCCAACAAAACCCCACACACCAAGCCCTGAGTTGGTACATCTGGGGAGCAATTAGTCCCCACAAACAGCAGCTCTCGCTTCCCAGCTGGAGTGGCTGGATGAGGGACTTAAAAATAGCAGGCACCGCAGGGCATGGAAACAGGAGACTCCACCAGGTTTCAGGGAGGCATGCTTGGGAAGGGAGCCCCATGGACGCCCTGCGGGGATGGGCAGCTGCGGCTGAGGGGGCAGAGCCCCAAGCCCTGCTCCCCTTGTCAGGGGCTCTCAGTGCTGGAGACCCCAAAGGGTTATTTCAACACTTGCACATGGACTAAGATCCAGAAAGTGACCTTGGGCTTGGGCCAACAAGACTGCCAGGGAACTCCTTCCCTCCCTCCTTTTCATTCTTCCCTCATTCAACAAATACTTATTGTATACCTACTATGCTTCAAGCACAATTCTATATGCTGGAAGATTTTTTTTTTAAGGGACCAAGATAGACACCACCTTCTGCCTTACCTGAAACCTGAAGCATCTCTCCCTCTCCGGCCCTAAGTGTCCCAAACCTCGGACTGCTGATTGGGAGTGTGCCTTAGTTCTGCCCAACATTCCAGAACGCTGTGACATGACCACAGCAGTGCCAGGTACACAGGAGGCACCTGTCTCACAGCTGTTGTGACGAGAAAATGAGGTCACACAGCAAGCACGTGATAGATGTTAGCTGCTGGAAAGGCAAAGGTGTGCTGACAACACTCTTCCCGCTTCTTGGCTCATTCCAGCTACCAGAACCTTCCCCTCCTGCCTTCCCCTTGAGTCTGTGGCTCCCCAAGAACCTTCTGGTAAATTGCATCTCAAATTAGCCGGAATTGGACTCAGTGGTCTGCCATGGAGCATCCCCATTCAACCACACAGCCCTCACCTGACTGGCATGTGGTGCCCCTCTGTGGTTCCTTGGCTAGGCAGACTCAGAAACCCTCACTCCCGTCCGCCGCAGCCCGGGATGGGGAGCCCGAGCCCAGCACTTACATGCCATCGATTTTCTCCACGCCATGGAAGAAGCTGATGCAGTCTGACGTGTTCCTCAGGTTAAAGCACTTCTCATCGATAAACTGGGCTGAGTTTTTGTCCTCGAGGTCCCTCTCCAGAGCATGCTGAGCATCTCGGTTATCACTGTGGGGGTGAGAGTTGTCCCTGGATTGCGTGCTTACCCAGAGTCCCTCACTCAAGGTCACAGGGAGGTCAGTGCAGAGCCACTGCTCAAAGCAAGTCTCTGGACTTCTAAGAGGATGCTCTGTCCACCCTTAGTGGCTTCTCAGCCTTCTTCCCACCTTGATGCCCCCACCACACACCCAGGGACATGCCCGCTTCCCGCCACCCAGCCCTGCTTCCCTCCCCTCCCCCAGGGTAAGTAGACCTATTGTCATTTAGAACAGGGGTGGGCAAACATGTACTGCAAATGGCCAAATACTAAATATTTTAGGCTTTGTGGGTCACATGGTCTCTGTTACAACTACTAAGCTACGCAGGAAAGCAATCACAGGTAATATGTAAATGATGAACGGGTGTGGCTGTGTTCCATTAAAACATTATTTATGAAAAGAGGGCCAGATTTGGCTCTGCAGCTGTGCATATGCTGACCTCACTTAGAAGATACGAATTCTCTGGAAAAAGCCTTTAAAACAGTTCACAGATCATTATGTCTAACCCTCTGCCTGGCACAGAAGGAAAACAGATGAGTTAAGACCCAGGAGCTCACAGATTTGCATAAACACAGTAAAAATAAATACACCGTGCAGGTCTGAAAAGGATGCACAGTGACACAGAGGAGGAAGCCATTAACTCGGGGGACTTGTGATTTCTCTCTGTCTCAGGCTCTGGGTCTCTGCCTGCCTCACCTTTCTTAGATTCTCTGTCTCGGGCCTCTGTGTGTATGAGTCTCTCTCCTCGGTCTTTGTGTTTTGGCCACAGTCCTTTACTGCTATGGATCTGATGTGGGATTTCGAACAGGCCAGGAGCAGGGAAATGTGTTATCTCGTGTTGGTGGGCATCCAACTACTGTGTGCTCAGGGAGTCGTGCTGGGCGGGAGGAACCACCCTGGGGCCCTGGGGGCCTTCTGAATTTGCAGAGCTGTGGAGAAACGGGGCCAGGTCCTGCCTAATGAACTGGAATGTGAAGAAAGACCAGCATGTGGAAGGAAACATGCCAGAGCATTAGCGGGGAGCCTGTGCCCTCAGAGACCCTGCTCAGCTCGTCCAGCCTCCTGGGCCTTGCTAATGAAGCCTGGGGAAGGCCGGGCAGCCTCTGTCTCCCCTCCTTGGCCCACAACAGAAAGCACAGCCAGCACCAAGGCTCAGCCGGCTGTCAGCTCACCAAGAAAAGCCTGAACCTGGCTCCAGCCCAGTCAGGAAGAGCCTTTTCTATTTTGCTGGTCGCCTGGTGAGGTGAGGACACGGTCCTGCCCAGACGCAGCCTCACGCCTCGTCCAGAAAACTACGAGCCACCAGCCCAGCACCTGCTCATGCCGGGGCAGCCACCTGAGCAGGCCGGCGGCAGAGGCTCTGGCCGGCTCTAGGTGGGTTAGGGTGCCCTGGCAGGGAGCTGCCTCCCGGCAGAATGACAGACATCCTCCAATAAGGTCACACAGCCTCCAAGCAGGGTCGCTCGGCCTCGGGCCCTGGCAAAGGGGGGCATCCCCTCTGCCTGCTCCCATTCCCTCCTTGTCCTCGGCCACCACTGCTGCTTGGAGTTTATCCCTGAATCTCTTGTCCTCTTTCTCTGTGTCTGTCTCTGTCTTTGTTTTTTTGTCTCTGTCTTTCCTCTTGATTCCCCTGTCTGGCGTATCTCTGTCCCTCTCTGTCCCCCATGTCCCTGCTCCCATGGCCAGTATTGGTCCTTCCTTCCCTCTGACAGCCCAAATCACTCTGTGCCTCCCAGGCTGTGGGACTGTCTCCAACATCTCCTCCAGGGTCCAAGTCCCCAAGTTTAAGTCTCAGCTTTTATTCAAACAAACCTGTTCAAACTGTCCCATTTCCCACCTTCCCACCACTGAATCCAGCCATGGCCCTGTGGCAACCACAAATAGAAAATCATTCATAAATGATCAGAAACATAAGGGCAAGAAAAATACAATGAAGACATCTGCTTGCCCAAAGCATTTCCCTTGTTAAAGCTTCCCGGTTTAAATAAAAGTATATGAGTCTCCTTTTAAGTGAATTAATTTATAGACAAACTTTGGGTGAACCACAGTCCAAGTGGTAAGTAGAAGTGTCAGAAATCAGAACAGAAGTGTGCACTACTCTCACACACATTCAACTGTCCCTTCAGCCACTGCCGTTTGGCATCTCATTTTGGACACCTCCACCTCTGATGTCCGCCCTTGCCTACAGCCTGGGTGATTCTCTCCTGTCCCCGCACCCAGTTCTCACTGCCTCAGTGGAGGTGAGGGGCTGCTCTGTGTGTGTGTGTGTGGTGGGGGACTGCTCTTTCTCCTCCATGGAAGCAGGGCACCCAGCCCCCAGAGCCTATTTGCAAGCTGCCTGGTCCCCGTACCCCAGCCCACTTGCCCACATGCCCCATCTGTAGGAAGGGGTGGCGGGGGCAAGAGGTAAAGGAAGGGTCCAGCTCAAGGGCCAGGTGGGAGGGCCGCCTCCAGGAGAGCTGGGGACTAAGGGCTGAGCTATGGGTCCCAAGCCCTCTAAAACTCAGGCCTACCTTTAATTACCCCCTAGTTTGTCGCAATACTGGTTATGCAATCTTCAAAGAACAAAAAGCTATTCCCTTTGAAGACACTTGGTTTAAGGCATCCGCCAGCTCCCCTCTGAAGCTGTCCCAGACCCTCACCTCCATGCCTGATGCCACTACTCTCTGCCCTTCCCAGAGTTCAGAACTCCCACGGGGACACCACAGGATAAGCAGGGCCTCAGTGAGGCCAGTTTCTTGTGCCTAGACCCTCACTGAGAAACGAGAACCACTGCTGACATGCTGGCCCATGAAAACCAGTTGTATGCATCTCAGTAACATCCTATCGGTAGACTGAAATCAGCCCGGGTGATAGCATTTACACCACTGCAATTGGCAAAGCTACAAATCAGGATTTTTCTTCATTCCCGGAGAGCTGGTTGTTAAACACCTACCAGTATACCACTGGCTAAAAGAACCACCTAGAAACAGGGGACGCATCTGGCTTGGCCCCAGAAACCTAGAGACCCAAAACAAACTCCAAGAAAAGGAAGAGAAAGCAGCCCTTACCGCATCTGGATCTCGAATCTTTGAGCTAATTTTCTCATCTGTTCTTGGCAACATTTTAGCATATCTACTTCCTGCAATGAAAAGAGTCAGAAAGAGCAGTCAGTGCCCCTTAGAGACTCACAGCACCCGTTGGACCACTACACCCCTTGCCTCTCACTGTCCCCTCTCCGCCCCACCAGGTAAATGTCAGCGTGGGGCCTAATACCTGCCTCAACACACATGATCCCAGGGCCACACAGCTAAGGGTTGATTGTGCAAGTCCCAATTTTTTGCCCTTTTCTTTTCTTTTTATATACTTTCAAATTAAAAAAAAAATAGCACCTACTATGTGCCTAGTGCTCATTTACAGATTACTTTATCATTAAGTAATGCATACTAAGTGGTATAGTGTGCGACATGCAGTAGGTGCTCATAAACCCTAGCTTTGGTTCCTGTTATTGATTGGTGTGATGATGATGCTGGTTTTAGTGATGAAAAGACTGAAGTCAGATGACCTCATTTCTCCCTGTTCCGAAACTGCAGCCTAGACACCAGCCATGCTTTCTGCTGCTGACAGGCAGCTCAGAAACCTCTCTGACCAGCTTGCCCTCCCTCCTCCCTCAGGAGACCAGGCAGTCCCAGGAGGCTCCTTACCCGGATAAGGTTTTTCTCCACGTTGTCATGGACCAAATCAATCCCGGTCCTTTTCTCTCGATGGTACAGGCATTCCAGGGCCACCTGTAGGGAGCACAGAAATTGCCGGTTCCCCCTGCAGCTGTATGCAGACCCTGGGCAGAGGGGACTCACCTCTACCTTTGTCCCAGGGACCCCAGACACTTCCTGTGGCCTCATCACTACGCATTTGGGTGGGCTCCACCCCTTCACCCTCATCAGGGGCCACGGGAGGCTGTGTCTGTGGATGGGCGCAATACTGGTCTATATCCCACACGCATGCTGTGCTAAGTTGATTAGAAGAATATAAGGCGCTCAGAATATTGCCAACAAATATTACCTATGAATATATGTGAAACCCCTTTTTGGAGATTTCTAAGTGGGAGGAGAGCTTTAGAAGGCGACCAGGGCCAGGTGACACCCAGGTGACCCTGCCACACAGCCATGGCCCTAGTAACTATCGTGGAAACAGGCAGAGCAGAACAGGGACAGGAGAGGAGGCTGCTCAGGGGAGCCCCTACTGCAGGAGCCCCTACTGCAGCCCCTACTGATTGGGCCGCTGGACCGTGATGTCACAGAAAGCAGTGGAGGGAGACGGAACCACGGGGCAAGACCGAGTGCCAGGATGCAAATGCATCTGGGAACTTGGAAAGGAGGGATTCACTGATTTCATAAGGATTTACTGACCCCTTTGTGTGTGTCACGCTCGATCAAGGTGCTGGGAACATGGCAATGAACTAAATAAATCCCTACTCGGATGGAGTTCTAATAGAGGGAACACAAGTAAACACATAAAGAAGCGCAATCATTTCTCCCTGTGATAAGGCTAGTCCCTGATAGCCTTACAGATGTAGATGTTGGGGTTATGTGGGTAGGAAGTGAGGGAGGACTTCTCTAAGGAGGTGGCAGGAAACCTGATCACGGGAAGCAGCAGAGATGAATGGGAATAATGAACCAGGAAGAGGGAGCAGCAGGTCCAAAGGCCCTGAGGTAGGAGGCACAGCAGACAGGAAGGCACTAGTGCTAGAGAAAGTGGTGGGTGGGCCCTGGAGGCTGCAACAAGGAATTTAGAATTAACTAGGGTGTACTAGGAGCCAGCAGAGGATTTTAGCAGGGGATGGAGGGGGCAGGTATGTAAAGATCCAGTTCAATATTTAAAATTGCTCCTCTGGTGCTGTTTGGAAAATTGGCTGGAGGGGAGGCCAGGAAGGAGGCAGTCATCACTGTCCAGGGAGAGGCTGCCTGGGCTGAGGTGGTGGCCCTGGAGATGGAGAGAAGAGGATATGATGAAATGTTGTCTCAGATCCCCAGGCCACCATGCAGAGGCCACGGGACCTGGCAGAGCTGGGTTTTCCAGACAGACTGGTGGGTGAGAAGACAGGGGAGAGGACAGCAATGGATTCTGGATGCCGCCTTGGGTCTCCTGCCCACTGTCCTCTGGGGAGAAATTCTCGGGGTATAGGGAAACAGTAGGACCCCTCCTAGTGGGGGGAAACTAGTGCCATGTCTCCTGGGTGATCTGGAGGCAGGACCTCTCCTCCAGAAGTCCCTGCACCTGACACAGAGCAGAATCACCTGCTGGCGACTTCCAGGCAGGAGGGTCTGAGTCCCCACTGGCTCCAGGAAGCCACCAAACACCATCCTGGCCCAGGTCTGCTCCCAAAGCACGAGGCAGATAACGCCAGATCCCTTATCGACTGTCCACTCCACAACCCAGTGAAAAGCACTCACCCAGAGCCCTGGGCAGTGGGGAGCCCAGGAGAGCTCTGGCAAATGGGCTACAAGTAGAACCGCATGATGGTCCTTCTGGAAAAGTGACATTCCTTGACACTGCTGGCACATTTACCCTCTGCCTTACTCCCACCTAACTGCCTCAACTGAGAATATCAGAACGTTCCTTGCCACCAGGAGCTCTGCCAGCAGTAGGACCAATGCCACGGGCTACCAATGGCAGAGCAGAAAGACAGGAGCCTGGGTCCCTTCTGGCATCAGGTGGAGGCTGTTCTTTCTGGAATTCCCACTTCAGAAAAAATTCCTATTTGGCTGAGCCGCTTTAGTCGAGTATCTGTCATATGCAGCCAAAAGCACCCCTAAGTGATCCAAGATATGACTGCAGACTGGGAAACCAAGAACCGTCCAGAATGTCCACATTCAGGCATTTATTCAACAAATATGTGTTGAGTGCCTGCTATGAACCGCACACTGTGCTAGGCTGGGAAGACATTCAAACCATTGGTGTGGCCAAAAGCCAATCAGCATAGACATGGCTCATTAAGGGCCAGCCAGACACACGGGCAAGTCACAGCAGTTATCAGTCTTGAACACAGTGTCGACAAAGCAGACGAAAATCCCTCCCCTCGTAGAGCCTCTATTCTGGCAGGGAGAGGAATCAATTTTTTAAATGAGTAAATCATAGAGTATGTTAGGAGGTGTTACAGGCTACAGAGAAAAATTAAGCAGTTATTTTAAGTGTGTCTTTTCAAGACCATCACACTCATGTATGCACATGCATGCAATAATCCTTCAATGAAACTTCTGCAGTTTTGACGTAATCCCGACAAGGAAAGGAAATTCAGTCCCGACCCAGGAACTTGACTGGGATAGCCCTGTATGGACGACGATTCGATTTTTTTACCGCAGAAACTGATCATGGATGATGATGCGGCTCAAACTGACCTGCGAGGTGCCTGTCCCCTTCATCTTTGCTCCAGGCAAGCGGAGTGCATGGAGCTGCAACTCCCCACCCACACTCACCTGCAGGGGGCACTTCACCTCCTCGGCCGCGCACTCCAGCCGCCTCCTGATTGTCTCCAGGCTGCGGTTCTCGTTCAGAAGCTTTTCCAGCTCGTAGTTCAGCTCAGACTTCCAGAAGCCGATGTCCGACAACCTCTGGCCCAGGTTCCGGCAGGTCCCCTCCTGCATCTGATGCGTCAGCTGATCCTTGTCCTGCATGAGCCGCATGGAGTCGCCTGTCAGCCGGCTGGCCCACAGCCGCGAGGCCTCGGCCCCGCGAATCTGCAGCTGGTTGGACTGCTCCCAGTCGTGGGGACTATAGCGACAGAAGAGCGCAGAGCGGAGCGCCGGCAGGACGGTGGGTGGCCGCAGGGCGCTGTGGCATGCGGCTCCCTCATCCACACAGGGCTGGGTGTTGGAGACCTTGTAGAAGAGACTGGGCCTCCACGGGGTGAGGTAGCGGTACCCAGGCAGGTAATAGGGCTGGTAGCATTCCTGGATTGCGGGAGGCGGCACGGCGGGGGGTAGCGTGCCAATGTCACAGGCTTTCTTGGGGCCACAGTAACTGGCAATCTGAGTGGTTCCAAGAAACTCCATCCTTCCTCATCAGCCCCACTAGGGCAGAACTCTGCGCAAAGGCAGACACCAGGGGTTGGGGGCGGGAGAGAAGCTTCTCTTAGGGCAGGACCTCTATGACTCGGCACTGCTGTCACAAAGCCTGGGGGAGTGTGGAATGTCGCTTTCAGGCCAGCTGGGCCCATGCTGTCCCAATCAACACACACACACACACACACACACACACACACACACACACACACACACACACACACAAAAGAGAATGTGAGTTTTTCAACCCACAGAGTTGGAGGTGCAGGAAACAGCATTTATTTATTTTTCCACAGCAGTCGGATCTGCTTTTCCAGACCTAACTCTGCCCATGGGAGAAAATGTAAAACGTAGTCCCCTTCAATAAACTCAATCAGCTCAGGACGATTTGGTCAAAGTTAGTTGATTTCTTTTTCTTTGTCCCCAGGATGGCACCAGAATGGGAAATCCATAGTATGGAATACTATTCAGCAGTTAAAAGGAATGAACCCTTAACACAGATGAATGTCAAACGTATCAAGCTGAGCGGAAGCAGCTCAACTCAAAAGGTCAATCCAGTGTGATTCCATTTAGATGACACCCTGGAAAAGGCAGATCCGTGTGGACACATGACTCATGCGGGGAGGTTCCGGGAGCCGGGGGCGGGGGGAAGACTATGAAGGAGCCGAGGAAATCTGGGCATGGTGACCGTATTGCTCGATATCTTGACTGGTGGCAGTTACACAACCATGTGCATTGGTTAAAGCCCACAGGACCGTCCACTAAAAGAGGTAAATTTTACATAAATAATCCTTCAATAAACCTGCCCTTAATGAGGGTGGTAGGGATCGTGAGCTCCTGAGGTAGAGACCGTGTCTATTTGGCTCGCCATGAAGCCCAGCGCACGGCAGAACGGGAGAGCGCATTCAGCCCTCTGCCCTGTACCGACATCTGCACCCCATCGAGAAACGACCCCTCCCACCCTGGGCTGGAGGGCGTGGCAACAAAATCTCAAGGTACAGAACAGAAGAGGTGCTTGATCTGCGGGGCCCTGGCCCCCTCCTGCAGTGGAAACAAGAACAACCTTCACCCTCACGTGGTCCTTGCTGGTGAAGGGAGATGGTCACTGGGACTTTTCTCTCCAGCTGCTGGAACCCAGGACTGAAAAAAGGAGTGGGCATGAGAGGACTGAGGGAGAGAAATAACCTTAGGCACCTTCTGCACACCTGATGCTTCACATATACTCATTTAAAATATTTCCACAGCCCGCCTATAAAGCAACCTCGTGTTACAGAGTGGGATAAGGAAATCACGTGGGCTCTGGACCTGCTTCGCACCTAAAACGCTTACCTTGGGGGACCCTTGAAGATGGGCCATCACACAACAGGAAGTGCCTGCCCACCAAGGGCAGCCAAGAAATGGAGCAAAAAAGATTCAGCGTATTGTTTTCAGCACCAAATGTTCACAGTAAAAATAATAATGTGAGTGATCTAAGGGTATAAAGATTTAGAATTTTCTCACCAAGGGCTACTTTGCATTTTCCCAGGTATAAGTACTATTGTCAGATTTTTGTATTTTTCCAGATATACTCTATGCACAGCCAAGCCTAGACAAGTCTGTACCTTTTTCTTGCATAAATACCATGCTCACCATTTTCCACAATACCCTAAGTCTTGGAGATTATTCCATTTTGGTATATAAACATCTATCTCCTCCTTTTGGCAGCTGTGTAATTCTCCATGATGTGGAGGTGCTATTATTTATTTGATTCTTCTCTATGACTGGGTGTTTAAGATGCTTCCTGTCTTGCTGCTACAAATATCGCTGCAATAAAAGTCCTTCCCTGGGCAGGTCTTGAAGTCGGTTTACGTAGGGGCAATTTGCACACAGCTCAGGTTCATGAGTTCTGACATACAGGCACACAGGTACACTACCATCACCAAGATGGGCTATGTCCATGGCCCTGGAAGTCCCTCAGTGATCTCCTCCCTACCTCTCACCCCAGCAACCACCTGTGGGCCCTCTGTCCCCACAGAATGCCATATATATGGGGTCATGTAGCATGTGGTCCTTTGAGCCCCACCCCTCTCCCTCTGCATAATGCTAAATGCAACCGATCCTTCCGCATACATTTCGGGGCATGTCTGAGCATAACTTCTGGAAGAAGTTACAAGATAGAGGAGCACATGGATTTTTTTATTGGATATGTATTGTCTGGAAGGTTTTCCCTCTCCTGTGGACCTCTGAACAAACCCCACTGAAAGTTGGCTGCCCCCCCAGGGGAACTCACCAGAGAAATGAACCCATCTGCCTTTCTGCCATGTGGGGCTCTGGCCTGATTTTCCTAAGCAAGGCAGGGCTCCTCGAAGAAAAGAACTGACCTCAAAGTCCTACTTGGCTTTGCATATAGTATAGAGTTTTGACAAATACATTATACATACATATGCACACGTGTACACTCTCACACATATGTCTATATGACTCATGCCTTTTTTCCTGCTGGAAAGAGAAGACTCTGTGTCAGGGGTGGACAGCTGGGGAGAGGTCTGATGCAAATGAACCCACAGTCTTAGCCTCGGCTTCTGCTCCAGCCTGCTGAAGAAAGCATCAGTCTCTGGGTCAGGAACTGGGTTGAGGGGCTCCTGTGGCCATGTAGGAAGTCTGCTCTGTGCCATCCAGGCAGAGGCGGCCTTTCCCCCAAGTGGAATCCCAGCTTTGCCCCGTTCCAGCCTGGAAACCGATGGCAATTGTGCCTCCCTCTGACGGGAGTTGTGAGCATCAAACGGGCATAGCAAGGTATTTAGCACATAGCAGGTGTTCAGTCATGACTGGCATTATTACTATCATACCACACTTAGCCACATCGTTTCCTTTTTATCCTTTTGATAATGTTGGGAGGTGGGCATGATTTGCACCCTCATTTTACAGGTGAGCATCTGAGGCTCAGATTGGTGACTCTTTGCCCAAGGACACACAGCGAGTCTCCGGTAATGCCCTCTCTGTGCCCATGGGGCCAGGAAACCCAGGTGAAGAGCCTGGATGTACTTCTGAAGAACAGCTCAGGGAATTCGGGTTTCGCTCCCCACGGCCCAACATTCTGTTATAAACAGTTGCAAAAATGCAGTGGTTTTCAAACACATTCGCTGGTGCAGAAGGCTGTGTTTAAACAAACTCTCCCACAGGAGAGGGGCACATGACAGAAGAGCACGAAAGCGCTCTGTCTGGAGGAGGCAGAGGTAGGGGGCGCTTCCCTGTGCATCCTCAGGGCCCCACGGGGCACCCGTTAGTACCCTGCCTCCCCACCTCACAAACGCAGGCCGCCTAGCTAGGAAGTGGCCAAGGGAGACTCGACGTCCGGGTTTTCCGAAGTTGTACTGATCATCTAGAGAAATGGTATAATTGTTACGAGAGTCAAAAGGGATTGGGGTAAATTCAGAATCCAGGGTTGTGGGTGAACGAGTTTCCGATGGCTGCTGCCACAAATCACCAAGTCAGTGACCTCAAACAACGCAAAGACATAGTCTGGGAGTTCAGAATCCCAAACAGAGTCTTCAGGGTTCAATCGAGGTGTGGGCGGGCTGTTCCTTCTGCAGGCTCCGGGGGAGAGTCCAGTTCCTTGCACTTTCCATCTTCCGGAGGCTGCCTGCATCCTTTGGCTTGAGGCCCCTTCCTCCAACGTCAAAGCCAACGGTGCAATGTCTTCTCTCCCCTCTGATTGCCCTGCCTCCCTCTTACAAGGACCCTTCTGATCACATCACACAGATAATCCAGAACAGCCTCCCCACCTGGAGATCCTTAACTTAGTCACACCTGCAAACCCCATTTGCCACATAAGGTGACAGAGTCAGGTTCCAGGTGTTAGGACGTGGGCCTCTTTGGGGGGTGACTGTCCTGTCCACCACGGTGAGGAAGACAGAAGAATGCTGGGTGACAGGCAAGTCAGGCAAAAAAAAGCCCTGTGCTGTGGACTGTCCAAAATGTGAAGAGACTCAGAAGCTGAGGGGCCCAAGGGAGCATCTCCTACCGTTCCCAAGGTCTCCCTTATCTATGACGCATTTAAGTTCCAAAAGACAATACCGTCTCACCCAGACTTGAGCTTCCACCTAGTCCTCTTGATCTGTGCTTCTCATATGTTGTTAGCATGTCCTCAAACGACCTGGGGATTGTGCTAAAATACATGTTCTGATTGAGTAGAGCCGGAGATGCTGCGTTTCTTGTAAGTTCCTAGGTGAGGCTGGTCCCCAGTCCACAAATGGAGTAGTGAGGCCCTGAAATAAATTCTGAGAGAAAAGAGCTTGTCTGATTTTACTCATCCACAGTACTTAGTAGAATGCCTGGAATTTAACACGAAACCCACCAGTCTGCAGAAGAAAGGCATCATCGAGACTACCTTATGTGACTGATGATGGGAACTTTCTGCAGTGATCAAATCAACCCAGCTCAGCGAGCATTCCTTGGGCGCCCCCTGTGGGTGGGCAGGAATCTTTCCCCTGTGCCTCCAGGGCAGCCCAAGGTGCTGGAGGTGGCTCCAAGCAGAGCTCAGACAACCAGAAAAATAGAGACACACGTAGAAAAGGTAGAGAGAGAAAAATCTAGAAGCAAGCTGCTTTCCATTCAGCATCAATGTCAGTCTGTATTATTCAAAACAAAGATTGAATTTTACAATAAAACATTTTTATTTTCACTTCGAATTTCAGGCAGGATCTCTGCGGTGCTTAGAACATGAGCCCTGACTGGCGTCCAGTGACCCAGCATGCTTTGGGAATCTCCCTGCAGATACATGTATTCACACATATAGCATGCATATATGCTACACTGATTGTAGAGGTGAAAAAAGTGGAACTAACCAAATGTCCCTTAATACAGGATGGCTAAATAAAATAAAGAACAACTTCCTCTGGAATTCTCTGCAGTATCTGCTGACATGAAAAAATTGTAAGATATAAGTGAAGAAAGCAAGATACAGAACAGTTTATATGGTGTGATACCACTTAAGCAGACATACATGTAATTGCATACACACAAACACTTCTGGAAAGATCCAGAGAAACCAGTGCCAGAGAGATTAGCTTTGGGCAGGGGTAGGAGTGGGATGGGTTGCAGGCAGAGAGGGAGACTTTTACTTTCTAATTAAGCCTTCCATGCTGATACATATATGTTTATTTTAGTATATATGTAGTACATATAGTATAGTATACAGTATGTATAATTCACACATATATATATATATACACACACACACATACACACAGCTTAGTAGGACTTCCACTTTGGCCAAGATTGGATAATAGGGATTGGCTGTAGCCTCCCACAGGAAATAATTTTTAAAAAATCCTCAGAATATATAAAACAGTGACTTTCAAGACACTGAACACCAGGCCATGATAAACTGTCACCTTTTAATAGGAAACAAATGTGGCCAGTACTACAACTACCCCAGCTCACGGCCTGGGAAAAGTTTTCAGGCCATGGCACAGGGATTCCTGAGTTAAGGAGAACAGAGCTGGGGGGGTGGGTTGCCAGCGTGGCCAGAGTCTGAAGGGCCGAGCACGAAAGAGGGAGACGACTACCCAGGGCGAGCCCTGGAGGTTCATAGAGGGGTGCCTCGGTATCCAGCTGAGCATGACGGGTGCACACCTGTTCGGGAACAACCATGCAAAGTGGGTGCAGGGCACACAAAAGGATTGGAGAGGACACTGCCCAGAGCTCCCAGAGCTTGGGAATAGCTCCCCATCCCACCAACCACAGGAGAAAATTTCATGATGTGTGCATGATGTGTGGGGCATCAGGGCAAATACCTAGAAGGGTTTTGCTTCATTCAGTGAAAGGGCAAAATTCGTCCCAGACTTAATACCACTCTGGGTCTGGGGTATTAGAGCAAGATTAAAAACATATGCAGTCAGTTAGCTGTGTCCCAGAGAAAAAGATCAAGAACATTTGTAAAAATGCAAACATTGTCAGCACAAGATAAGACAAAATTCACAATGTCTGGCATCCAGTAAAAAATTATCAGGCCTGCAAGCAGCGGCAAAGCGGGACTCACTGTCAGGAGTGGAGCTCAATCCACTGAAACCAAACCAGATGTGACATGTAAAGTAGAATTAATGGGCAAGAACACGTATTTTCTGTGTTCAAGAAGCTAGACAGAGGAAAGGCTGGATACGTTCAGTAGAGACAAGGCAGATACAGGTACATATAAAACCACCTGAACTGAACTTCCAAAGGTGAACTACAACGTCTGGGATGAAAAATACACAAGAATGAAATGAAGGCAGGTCTTGGTCAGCCTGGGCTGCCATGGCGAAACCCCACAGACTGGGTGGCTTACAAACAGACGTCTATTTTGTGCTGTACAAACACTTTGGCAGTTTGACAGTTTCCTAGCATTTCACTCCTAGGTATTTACTCCAGAGAAACGAAAGTAGATGTCATTACGATGATTTGTGCCACATGCTCCTAGCAGTTTAATTTGTCACACACCAAACTGGAAGCGAGCCAAATGTCCAGCCACAGGCGAATTACACAATGGCAACTAGAAGAAATGAACTTCATACGTACGACAGCATAGATGAATCTAAGATAAATATGCTAAGTGAGAGAAGCCAGGTGAAAAGGCGCAGAGACTGTATGATTCCATTTACATAAAATTCAGAAGATCCAAATACATCTATAAAGACAGGAAACAGATGAGTGATTGCATGAGAATGGGGACAGGGGGAGGTTTGGCCATGAGGAGTCTTGTGTGTGGTGGGGGGGGCGGTGTAGGGGGTGATACATGCTGTTCAAGTCAAAACTTACCAACTGTACTCTTGAAATATGGGCAGTTTGTGACCTATCAGCTATACATCAATAAAGCTGTTTAAGAAACAAGTTAATTGGTAACACCTATAAGGGCTCATATGTGCCAGGCACTTTAGAAGAAACTTTTACTCATAGTAACTTATTTAATCCTCCCAACAATAAACATTTGAGGTAGTTAATACTACCACTGCCATTTTACAGAAGAGACTGAGGCATGAAGAAACGATGCAAAATCTAGTAAATGGGGATGCAGATACCTGGCATTCAAGAATCCATGTTCTTAACCAATACATGAAGATCTGAACCTTAATTTTCGGAGCAATTATATATTAAGTGCCTACGGTGGATACAGCCCTTTGGTAGGTATTTTTGCCAGGTCCAAGGGAAGAGGTAGAAAATCCTCTAAAATTGTTTTGTCCTTTGATCATATATGGGGGGAGACCACCACCTACTGGTGAAAGGTGGCACTGCATGCACTCCCGCACCTTCGAATAGGTCGTTTCTCCCCCTGCCAGTGTTTTGAAATGCTCCTGCTCTGCTGAATCAGCATCTAATTATTTAATCGGTTTGACCCAGGTGCTAGTCTTTTTTATCCACCAGCCCGCTGTATGACTTGGAGCAGCTCTGCCTGCTAGGCCTCTGTTCCCCGATCTGTGAATAAGGGTGTAGGATCTCTGCAATTCTCCCCTACAAACCCTAAGTTCCCTTAAACAAAAATGTGTATTGAATTGTTGTTCTCTGGATGTTCTGCGCTTGGTGCTTTGCGTGAATTAAAGTGTTTTATGCCCACAGCAATCTCATGGAGCAAATGCTTTTGTATCTCCATTTTACAGATAAGCAAACTGAGGCTGGAGACGGGAAGGGATTTGCCTAATGTTATTCAGCTGGGAAATGGAGTCAGGATTTAAATCCATGTTATCAGAGCACAAGCTATAAAAAAAACCCATGTAATCTGCCATCAGGCATCCCTACTCCGGGACGCTGTAGTGCCATCACTAGAAATGCTGACGTATTTTGAAAACACGCTGGAATACTGTGATTCATAATATGAAATACCTATTTGGTCTTCCCCATTACTGCGCACAGAGCTCCTAAAATCCCTGGAATCTCCTAAGGGATGAAAGCGGTAGAGGCGTGTCTTGCTATATGTTAACGAATCACTTTCACACCTCACTTAAGGATCCAGGCTGGTTGCCAGGGGAACCACCCAAGTAATTATAGGGTCAGAACTTTCAGTACCACCCAACCCCACCCCTCTGCCACCCAAATCTCCAGGCAGAGGAAATCACCAATGGCCGATTATTTAATCAATTATGTCTGTGTAACGCAGCCTCCATAAAACCCCAAGAGGACTAGGTTCAGCAGACTTCTAGGCTGGTGAACAGGTGGAGATTTGGGGAGTGGCATACCTGGAGAGGGCTGGGAGCCCTGGGGCCTTTCCCAGTGCCTTGCCGACGTGTCTCTTCCGTCTGGTTGTTCCTCAATTACATCTACATCCTTTTATAAAAATCGTGTGACCTAATAAGTAAAGAAGGTTCTTTGAGTTCTGTGAGCCATTCTAGCAAATTAGTCGAATCTAAAGCGGGAGGTGGTCACGGGAACCTCTGATTTACAGCCAGCTGGTCAGAAGCACAAGTGACAACCTGGGCTTGCAACTGGCATCTGAAAAGGGACAGTTTTGTAAGATAGAATCCTTAACTTACAGCATCTGATGCAATCTCTACATAAATAGTGTCAGAACTTAGGTGAATGTTGGTATGGGGGTATTCCCCCATTGGGAAATGGGTTCAGAACCTATTTACATGTCCAGGCCCCACACAAGATTCTGATTAAATTGGCTTTTGGGAGGAAGACTGTCCGTCCCTCCCTGCCTCTGTACCACAGATAAGGGAGGAGACGTGATGAGACATCAAAGACCTGAAAGGGCCAGCCAGGGGACTCAGGGCGTAACAGCGCAAGAGTCATGCCGAAAAGGCACTCCTCATATTTACAGAGCAAATGAACCCAAACATCCAAAGAATTCTGAGTAGGGGGTTCAACCCATGATCAACACACAATCACTATCTGACCTTGAGTCCAGCCCTAGGGTGTGATGCTCCTCAGGGACACTGAAACCATGTGAGGGTGGTCACGAGTTGTAGGAACTGTTTTGTCTTTACTCATTCTGTTATTGATCATACATCAGGAGTTGTAGGAGAAACAATCAGGTCATATGCATTTGTACATTTGATTTCTATATTACTTGATTTATGTATTAATCCCATTAATCCCACAGAAGACCCAGGCATTAAATTCCCCAGGAGATTAGAATGTGGAGGCGGTTGAGAAATGCCGCTGTAGAGGTGTATACACTGGTGTGTTCAGCAGATTCAAGCTCTAACAATGAAAAAAAAGTATAAACAAGCTTTGAAAAGAATGGGCTTTGTTTTTCGCGCAGTTAGCTGAACAGTACAATTTATCAGGAAGTTCAGAGAGTTCCTATATAGTCCCTCCACCCTCCCCCAGCCCCTTTCCCATTTATTAACATCTTGCATTGGCTTGCTACATTATACTTGAAACAATAAGGACGCATTATTATTAACTGAAGTACACCCATTAGGGTTCATTCTCATTTTCTAAGTTCTAGATGTGACGCATGCATAATGTCATATATCCACCATCACAGGGTCATGCAGGTTAGTGGCACTGTCCTGAAAGTCCCATGCTCCACCAATTTGTCCTCCCCTCCCCAACCCGTAGCAACCAGTGATCTTTTTACTGTCTCTTTAGTTTACGAACTTATTTTTAAAACTCTTTTAAAACTTCGCCATTCAAATCTTTAGCCCTTACTAAGTTTTCTACATTAAAAATAACACATTTTTAAACTTCAATTTTGTTGTTTTTAGTTGTCACTGCCACCTTCAGAGGGACTAAAATAAAAATTTTAAACTTAAAATCTATTGTTTCAAACTCACAAAACTCAAATGTAAAGGCAATGTAAATAAACTTGCAAATGCTGACTTTTTAAAGTTTGCCGCACTCATACTTCCAAAGTTACTAAAACAGAAGACTGGGCCCAGCTTTTGGAACATGCCATATTCTGGAAAGGAGAATGCAGTCGAATGCACAGGCCAGGGATGGCTTCTGTGAGAGAATGCTGAGACCGGCATGTCCCAGAGGACTAGGTGATGGTCGGATAGGCAGCGCCAGGGGGCAGTATCTTCCCGGCAGCAGGACCTGTGTGTGTAACACATTGAATGGGCTGGGGTGTCTGGGCAAATGCCAACCCTTTGGTGGTTAGAGCTCAGCATTCACACTGACACACGGCAAGAAATGGGCCTGGTGGGGTAAAATGGGCCACGGAGGCCACTGACACCTGTGAAGATTGGTGTCGGCCTGTGAGCCCTAGGGAGCCACTGAAGGTTTATCAGTCGCAGAGTGGCACAGTCTGATTGATCTGTGGGGGTAAGGACAGAAAGACTTGCAGCCCAGAAACCACATGGCGAGTGGGAGGCAGTCCTGTACCCACCACCCTCTGGGACTCCTCTACTTCCAGGCACTTCCTGGGCCTTTTCAGGGATGAGCGTGTGACTAGCTTGCCAGTGAAAGTGAGCAGACAGGTGTCACTTCTGGGTGCAGCTCTTTAGCAGCAGTGTACAGTTCATGCTGTCTCCCTCCAAAGCCTTGTGCTGAATAGTGGCAACACAAGAAGGCAGAGCCTCTGTTGTTTGCATCCCTGAGGATCTGTAAGGAGCAGGGTCCTCTAATAAAGCTGTTCAAGTAGCAGGAGCAAAAACTAAACTTGGTTGCCTTGAGCCTCCACACCCCAGGGGATGTTTGTTCTGGCTGCATACCCCAGCCTGGCTGATACAGACACCACCCCAGGCCCAGGACGGTGAGGGCGAGCCGAGGCAGTGGGGCTGAGGGCTCTACGGAGCGTCAGTTGTCTATTGCTACCCAGAACTCAGAGGCTTGGAACAGTAATCGGTTCCTTAGCTCATGAGTCTGTGGGCTGGCTGGGCGGTTCTTCTGGACTCACTGCGCTCACTCATGCATCTGCGGCCACCTGTGGGTCTGGTGACTCGGCTGGACTCCCCCACATGTCTCAGAGCCACTGGTTTGGGATGGCCTCGGCGGGGACCCCTGGGGTGACTCAGCTCGGCTCAGTGTCTTCCCTTCAGCAGCCTAGCCCAGAGATGCTCCTGCAGGACGGCAGAGGGGCGAGAGAGGGAAGTGAACCTGGCAAGTGGTTTTACAAGGGCTTTTGGGGATCACATTTGCTGACATTTCATCAGCAAAATTAGTCACATGCCTGAGCCCTGAGTGAAGGAGTAGAAGATGCCCTGCCCACAATGGGAGGGCACTCAGATAGTCAGATAGCAAAGGGCACAGATGAAGAGACGGGTGAAGAATTGGGTTCATTTGCACAACCAGGTCACAGCACTACAGGACATGATGCCTGACCGGATGGAGAGGGAGACCCTGTGGCTGTCTCCAGTGATGGCCACGAACATTTACCCCATCTCTGTACGTGCCTGCCACTCCACTATCAGGACAGGGCGTCTGTTTGCCCAGTGTCTCAACCTGGGCTGACTTTGTAACTTGTTTTGACCAACAGGATGTGAGAAAGTGACGTGCCATGCCCAGTCACCATGTAAAGGTGCTCAGGCTAGACCACTGAATGATGAGAGGCCACACGGGGAAATCAAGGCAGACGTAAGAATGAGAATCTTGGATCTTCTAGTCAACTCCCCACTGAACGAAGCCACATGGTGAGCCCAGATATACATGAAGAGTCATGAGAAATAATAAACCACTGTTGTTTTAGCCACTATACATTGGGCTGATCTGTTACGCACCAATTGATAACTGATACAGGGCAGATGGGGAGGGCCAAGCATGGCTGGTGCTCAGATTTATTTATTTATTT